TCTACTTTGGTGCTGACTTGCTTACTTTTCAATGCCTTAGACTGTTTATTATTTTTAGATTTGCCTTTCTTTTTGGTGACCTTCATGGGTGTATTCTGACTGGACTTGAATTCATATGGATCGGAAGAGGGCAACTCTGAATCTTGACTCCTTATCTCAACAATTTCGTTGTCTAACACATTACTAGTATTTTTCTCTTCTGTTATTGTCTTCATCACCGTAACATTTTGATTATTATTTCTGATTAAAGCTTTGTCAGAATCAGATTCTGAACTAACATCTGACTGATTAGTTCTGCTTTTAAATATTCTTTTCCGTCTTACAGGTTCTGTAATAACATGTTTTACTTCTTGAACTCGGACATCGGACACTTCTTCATAATTTTTCTTGTCCAAATTTGATTTCTCACTTTCTATAGAAATGCTTGCATTTTCTTTATCACTTTTTATTTTAGAATCTGTTGGCGGCTTCTTTTCTGGCTCTGTTTCAAAATCATCTATCTCAAACAAAAGTCCTTTACCGTTATCCTGAACCTGTTTTGCAAGATGTTTTATCTTATTTCCCATGGCTTCTTCTTCCTCTCTCACTTTCACATCCTTTTTACTCATTCTTTTTGGCTGGATCTTTTCTTTGGGTTCATTCATTCTTATTTCATCACACCCTACATTTTCACTGTCAGAAATGGGTGGTATATTTTTCAACCATTCTGCAACTTTTCTTGTCGCTTTTTTCTCCTTCACAAATAAATCTTTGTCTTTCTTGCAGTAGGTTCTACTATTGTCTTTAACTTTAACTGTCAAATCCTCTTGTGTCATTTTCAAACTGCTGTCATGGTCATCAGCCTCTAAATGTTGATTTGTATTATCCTTGGATCTTAAAGACTTTTTCCGAACTTGAGATTGATCTTCCGAACTGTTTCTTTGATGAGAATGTTTTAAACCCTTAGGATCAACAGGAGTTCTAAATAACGGTCCACTTGAACTTTCAGATTCCTTGGCAACGGAGGTTCCCGACAGTATATGTACATCTGTATCTACCTCCATTTCAATCTCATTTGTGGCATCATTGTCATTATTTTCCTGCACTTCTATTGCAATATCCTCATTTACAGTTTTGCCAATACTTTCTGCAGTTTTTAACTTTGCATTACTCTTTTCAGTTACTTTATCACTAACCTTATCACTAACAGATACAACTTTTGACTGATTCATTTCCATTGTTTCCTTTCCACCGTCAGTCAAATCACTTTCAGCCTTACCAATTTTTTGTCTAGAAATATTTGAGTTACTAGAATTTCTATCTGGGTGCTTTTTAGAACCATTTCTTTTTCTTGTTTTATGTTTACTAGAGGTACTGTTTCCTTCTTTATTAATACCAACATCATCATTGTCTTCACTTGAATCATCTGCATTTAAAGTTCCTTCTTGGATACATTTTAGAAGCTCTTGTTGTCGGTCATCCTCTAGGGTTCTGCTAGAACCAAGCTCTGCATCTTGCTCACCATTTATAGACTTCTTAACACTGTGACTAGGGCTCGAACCTCTGAAAAAGATCATGATTTAGTATTTATTAAGTTTATAAAGCAGAAATTATTTTATTTCAAATGTGTTTGAAGCTATAAGCTTATTATGAATCATGAATGTATCATATTGTATGACATTATAGAGACATCTACATGTATGTGGTTAAGATATATGGTTTCACACTTAAGATCTAGATGTGTAACAATTTAATCATGAAGGTTTTACACACATTTCAAAGTATCTTAACATTTTAACAATGAACCAGGATGAGAGGATAAGTTTAAACTTATGTCATTCTTAAATAAAGCCTGCATTAATAAACAAAATGAGTAAAAAGGTATATCAACTTCTTGGTAATACTGGTTATACATAGACTATCAGGTAAGAAACTTCAATTTTTCAAAACTAGATTTACCTTCTGATCAATGATGGGGAATCTGTGCTTGCAGTGTCTGCAAAGAAAGAGAGAGAAAATAAAAATTTGTTATGTACACATTAGTAGTGATTATTGTGTGTAGGTAGTGGGAGGAAAAACAGACAGACCCAAAGACCTTGGTAGAACCAACAACATCTTGTCTGTTAATTTGTTGGATTTATAGTGACACTTAAACTGGTCATTTAGTAACTTCCTAGCATTACTGGAGGAAGAAGACTTTAGATACACCTTCATGCATAAGCAGGCATTAGAGTGGCGAGTATTTTCACCGACCTCCATAGACCTCCAGGATAGCTTCCTTACATGAAAGAATTCAAAGTCCATGATGGGATTCAAACCCACAGCTGTGAGGGGCAAGTGATCTGAAGTCTGCAACCTGAACCACACAGCTACGAAGGCCCCAACATCAAGTACTATATATTTATATCTTTGTCCTTTTAAAAATTCACAGCTCTCTGATATTTATACTTATTGCATGAGGTATGTAATCCTTGTTAGAATTGATATCTTTTTTCTTTTCTTACCAATAAGTTGCCTTCTTTTTGTACGTCTGACATTACTATGTGCTACATTTTTCGCGGGTTTTTGTCCAGTGGTTGTCTTTGCTTTTATGGAATCAGGAGTTCCGGGTAATAAACCTGACTGTGGACCTCTTGGTGGAGAAACTAGAGTAGATCGAAATAAAATAATGTTTTAATGATATGCATTCATGTACAATTCAGTTTATAATTCAATAACAGCCCTATAATATATATATTTTAGCAATAAATCTTGACCTTCAGCCTGCTGGTGTCAACTAATTCTACTCATGCAATATAAGTCTGAACACCCAAACTGTCTGATCATGGTCTGTGCACTGTTTGCTATTCAGGTAGTACTCATTTCAATATACCCCTTAAATGGTAAATGGTTTTGTCCAGAATGAAAGATGGACAAGTCCATTTAAGTTATTATATTAATTTATAAAGCATGATAAGGGTTAGAAATGTGAAATATCTTACACAGGAATCCAGTATCTTTCTGGAAGGCAGATATCAAGCTTCTCACGCCTTCCACCATATCTCCAAGCTCTTCTCTTTTCATCAAGCTCCTGAAATACATTAATGAATGATTATTTTTCTTCAATTTCTTCTGAATCTCTGCCTTTTTCTTATTAACTTTTTTCATTGATAATTAAGTTAATTAAAGTTGATACTTAATGAATTAAAAAAACTAGAACTCCGCGAGTCAGATGTGTCGCCTTGTGAACAATATAGGCCAGGACAAAAATGAAATATGAAAATTCACAAAGGGCAATAACCCAAAAAATAATACGTGCAGAGCAGCAGTTTCTATGATGCACTTCTTATCAATAAGATCTATCTATGAAGTTTCTAGTCCATAGCTTTTATAATTTATGAGAAATGGCCTGGACAAAAATAAAGTATGAAAATTAATAAAGGGTAATAACTCAAAAAATAAGAAGTGCAGTGTTCCGGTTCCTGTTCACTGCACTTCTTCTTAATGAGATCTATCATCCTATGAAGTTTCATGTCCATAGCTTTTATACTTTAGGAGAAATGGCCCGGACAAAAATAAAGTATAAACGACACAAAAAAAACATTCTTAAAGGTCACAATAAGGAAAGAACTAGGTCATTCATAAACTCATGTGACACATTTTATACTCTACATGTAAATCTCTTTTCATTAACATGAAATATATATATTAATATAAACAACATCAGTGTCAGGTATTTTCACTTTTAAAGGAACAGAAGCAGGGCCCATCGAGATGGGAAAATTGCGTCCCAGAATAAACATATAAAACAATTTATTTTATGTTAATTATGTTGCTGCAATACCATTATCTTCTCAACTTACAATGCCCCTCATGATAAAATATATCTAAAAAGAACTTTTTTGTTTACTTTTTAGGGGAAAATAAATACTTTTTGGATAGGGTAAAGGGGACAAATTTCGGTCCTAAATTGGTTATAAAATAAGCACTGAACATACTGAGTGGTGAGGCACATAAAATATTCTTATCAGCTAACAAGGCAGTATAATATATTTTAACGTTGAACAGCAGACAGATGACCCAAATATGCTGAATAGCCTTAAAACTGTTTTCTTTTTGGCCGCTAGCACTTTAATAATAGAGCAATAATTTGTTTAATTTAAATTTACCTTTTAGTAATTGGTTTCTTGCACAGTGGACATGGCACCTGTCTCTTTCTATCAATAAACTCTGTTAAACAAAACCTGGAAAAAGTGAGAAAATATCTTCACCAGGGAACATGCTATTACATATCTTTCTTCCTACAATGATTATAAAATACAATATTTAGAGTTATAAAGAGTGTTGATTTTACTTAGGATTGTATTTATTTCCCGACAAACAGCCCATAAGAGCTTTGCAATGACAGGCCTCGACAAATCCAATCTCCCTGCAGGCGAGTGATCATAGAAAAATTTGAAGCCTGAATGATTTATAAACTAAAAAATATAAGTCATTTGTTTCTTGATAAACCTACTTAAAAAATATAATGATCAGTGAAAAAAACTTTGAATCTTTGTAATAAAACATATTATCCTGGTTTACTGGTTTACCTGCAGAACTGGTGACCACAACCTGTTGACACTGGATTATTCATCATCTCTAAACTGAAATTAATGAATATTTTTATAATTAAAGTAATTCTCAGAAAAAATAATGAATGTTAATAAAATTAGAATATATATACTTAATCTTAGTTGTTTTAACTTCAGGCATTGGCTGTACATTAAAATCATGAGACATTTTGTAAGGGAGACAATGATTGTTAAAATGTTGAACACTTGGCTAGAAATTAACAAGAGCACCGCATGCTTTGTTAAGGCTCGGCTAATAAAATTTTGAAGTTAGAAAATGGATGAATTATGCTCCTTCTCTAATAACTGCATCTTGTCATGGAAAAAAAGTTCCATGTTGAATTGTTAATAACTTTGAAAATGTTTCAATAATTGTCTAAATTAGTTTGAATAATGGTCTTTATTAATGTATTTGTATAACGACAACAACACCACTGGGATCACTTGACATTTTCATTGAAACAAGCTAAAAATAAGTCCTAAAAAATGACGTCTCTTTGAAATAATTCAGCTTCTTGGTAAAGCTTGACCGACATAAACTGAGTGTAGAACAAAAGCCCCCCCCCCTTATAAAAATGGCAAGATGGACAAAAGCCCCCCCCCCCCCAAGAAATTATCACATAGGACAAAAGTAGCCCCAGGTAGGACAAAAGCCCTTTTGTTTTGTACCCATTGTTCATACATGTATTTAAGTGATGTATCTTACCATATCGAACATTCCAACGTCTTTTGCATCTGACCAAGTAATTCTTGAACTCGTTTTTCTGCCATGTTTACCTTTTACAAGTTTTAGATAAACAGATAACGCGAATAAAAAAAACAAATTGCACAAATGTCAAAGCATATTTTGTCTGTTGCCGTGTTGACTTGCTACTGTAAAGCTTACGGAAACGTCAAAATTTCTTTTTGTTTCAATCCGTCAATGTTTTCATGACAAATCAAATCATAAACATTTTTTATTTAAAATTATGTAAACAATCCAAAATATTTGCGCCTTGAATTTCCCGGAAAAATAATTTTTTTAACTTCCGCGTGAAGAGCTGTTATAACTATTTACTTTAAACGGAATATTTTTATACAGTAGACTACGTTTGCGTTTTGCTATTTGTTGTTTTTTGTGCGTTGTTATTTATTTATTTACTTATTTTATTTATTTATGTGTGTGTATGGTAGTGGGGATGTACTGTATAGTCATTCATTCATTGTCGTTGTCGTCATAATCAGCAGCAAATTCTAATAGTCCATTATTAATCATCATATAAATAAATCAAATCGTCCCCAAGTCAGGCGGACTCTTTGGTAATTCAAATCTGCTCCATTGCATTTTTATTGAGTCAAATCAGCCTATTTTAGTGATGATGAACATATGCCCGAGCCCGCACTTTACTGTCTATATACATGTATTACGATTTTTGGTAAATTCCCATGATTGTATACAAATACGAAAAATACTACAAAATCGATCATAATCATCATCATCACTATAACCCAAATCATCATCATTACATGTCGCCGTCGTCGTCATCCTTGTTTTGTTTTTGTTTTTAATATCATCAATATCACTTTTATCCCAACTATGACATGATGATGGTGAAGATGACGAAGATGGCTGGGGAAGCAAAAACCCAAACCAAAAAGCATATATAGAGCAAAAATCAAATGTCACTCATGCTTTCACATTTTGTTGATGCATACAACTGACAAAATCGCATTCTAAGGTCTTTCTCTACCTAAGTATGTTGTGCAAAAAATGAAATTTCTGAAACATAAAGTCTCTCTCTCGAAAAAATGTATCAGTCAAAAAATGTAATAAAAAAATCATAAATTAAATGTTTGACAGTTTTCGTGTTGCGAAGAGTATATCAAAATCAAACACTCTAAAGACCAAAAATGTGAATACAGAAATGTTTTTAGTCTATTATACTATGTTATACATTCCGTAGTAAATGTAGACAGGGAACCAGACTAGAATGATATGAGAACTTATGGAATCTTTTGAAAGTTTTATAATATTAGTTATAAAGGTTTTTTGACAGGTTATTAGGTCCTATTTATGCTTATGTATAATGATCCGAGCCACTAGACAATGATTATATTGCAAATAACCGTTTATATAGGCTATATAACCACTCATAATCTTTATAACGAATTCATAATACTACAAACTTCCTTTTTTAGAGAATGAGACTACTTCAGAAATGAACTACAGTTTTGTAAATATAATTTTATTACCCTTCCAGATTTTTTCCGCCTTTTTGATTGGATATTGATCACCCGAAAAAAATTGATATAACCGAGCCAGACGGGTAATATACACACTAAATTTCCCCGTTGGGTACTAAACGTTGTAAACGACATGCGCTGAGGTGATGCGCGTACGGTTCGATTTTACGCGGTGTAAATTCCGATTTACAAGCACTTTTTAACTGTCAAATGATAAATATTTACCATAGTAGAGTAATGATACAAATTCCCATCAGTATTGAAAACAAATATGCCCTTGTGAAAGTTTGATATTAATTACAAAAAAAAGTGCGTTCAATAGACTACTCCTTTTCTCTTGTTTACATTCGTTAGGTACGGGAAAAATACGTCATGTATTTATGTGACGTCATGTTGTGAAGAAGAGGTACCCTAAAGGGAATTTATTTCGACGTTTCATTTGAAACAGCAATGATTTTTTAAAAAATTGTCTAAACTCGGCAGGGGAAGGGTAATAAAATTATTTTTTTGGTTTTGGAGTGATATATGTGGACATATTACCTGTCAAGATAAAATATCACCCTCGCCTAACGGCTCGGGTGATATAAAATCTTAGCAGGTAATATATTCACATATATCACTCCAAAACCAAAATAACATATAATATAAACACCGCCAATTTATTATCTATATCTATTGAAAACGACGTTACATACATGCTGACAAAAGGGTTATATAACCTGTTATTTTTTTATAACTGCGTGTTGTAATATAAACGTTTGCTTGCATAAGTATAACCTGAATAACCTGAGCCACTAGGCAAGGGTTATATTGCAAAAAACGTTTATATACATCTATATAACATGTTAATAATCGTTATATAGCGAATTTATTATACAACAAACTTCTTAAATCTATCAAAGAAAAAAATTCTAAACTTATAATTATATAAACTTCACAATTATCCAATGAAAAGCGACGTTACAAACGTGCAGTATTTTAAAGTAAAAAAATAGTGTAGATGAATTTACACTTTATAGCAGAGTCTTTCAAATAAAAATGATATTTTTAAGAAAAGAAAATAATCATTTTTAAAGGTTTGGTTACATGTTTTGAAACTGATAACGGTTTGTCCATTTTGTTAATCGTCACACAATATGTTCTAATCATTTACTTTTAATGATGTTTATGTTAAATATATTGTTTTTCTTTTTATTTGCTGGAAAACCAGATAAGAGTTTGCAGATATTGACTTGCCATGAAATACAAACTTTGTATATCCTAAGCGTAGATTATAAACATCATAAAAAAAACATTCTGGATTTAGAAAAGTCCATAGCTCTAGTATATGTTAGCACTATAATTAATTGACAATTAAAGTCCGTGGCACAAAGAACTGTTATAGTAGCCTAGTTGAATTTAAATTTGAACACCCCTTGTATTCATAGAATTTCCAAAAAAATATCATTCTCAATATTTTTCCCATCTATTTTAACGGGTAGTTAATAAATTGTACAGATTATGACTTCATATTGATTTAACATTTATAATGCAGACTGTTAAATAATATAATTAAAGACGTAGAACATATTTATGTTAATATTCTATTAAACCCATATTTTTCTTATTTCCCCTTTCATTTTAATCACAATAATATTTACCAATAATAAGATAAACAAAATATAAGCAAAATATACCTAGAGCACATGTATTTTCAAACCACCTGAATATAAAAAATGTTTAATTGGTCCGTGCCCACAGGCGCGGAGCTATTTTTGTTTACTTTTTTTTTGTCCATGCCCCCGATCAATTAATCCCTTCGATTTACAGCTGAAAATAAATTCGGAAGCACGATTTCCTTTCGATTTCTATTAATTTAAAGTCATATATTGGTCTCCCCTTTAGTGATTCGCAGCATGTCGTATTAATAATTGTGAACGGGAACAAAGCTATAAATTGATATGACCTTACGCTCCCTTCGCAGCTCACTGAATACACTCACGTTACTTAGCGATAGTGGAACATTTGACCGATGCGCAGGAGAGTAATATGACCTTAACATTGTGAAAGTCCGAAAATCTATTTATAGAGTTAGTTTAATTAACCGCTTATGGTAATTGAAAAAAGTAAAAGTTTATTAATAGCTCCCCGACCCTGGTGTCCCGAATTTTTGCTATAAGAAGTTAATTCCATTTTGTTTGAAGGCAATCGGTTTTATACTCGACATGTATTTTAACAACAGAAACTTTCGTCTTATTAATAGGAATATAAACACACTGGTGTGTCAGACGAGGATTTTTACTAGTTACGTAACTAGTTAACCTATTATTTAACTAGTTAATTATGTGGTTAACTAGTTACGAAACTAGTTTTTTTTTCAATAAATAAAAGATCATAACGGAAAAAAATGCACGTTAGTGCCTACATCTGCCATCCTTTTATTATTTTACCAGCTTAACATTTTTAAGGGGTTAACTAGTTACGTAATAAGTTAACCTCTTAACTAACTATGTAATTAAAAGATTAACTAATTAGTAAATTAAGAGGTTGTCTAGTTACGTAACTAGGTAATCACATAATTAACTAGTTAATTAAGAGGTTAACTAATTACGTAACTAGTAAACCTCTTATTTAACTAGTTTGTTAAGAGGTTAACTAGTTTCGTAACTAGTTAACCTTTTAATATTAAGCTGGTAAAATAATAAAAGGATGGCAGTTGTAGTCACTAACATGCATTTATTTCCCGTTATGATCTTTTATTTATAGAAAAAATTAACTAGTTACGTAACTAGTTAACCACATTACTAACTAGATAACAAAGTGGGCAACTAGTTACGTAACTAGTTAACCTCTTAATCAACTAGTTAGTTATGTGGTTAACTAGTTATGTAACTAGTTAATTTTTTAACCTCTTATATATATAGTTAACTTATATTGTAATATAAATCCGTGGTTAACTAGTTAGTTATATGGTTATCTGGTGGCAGAAATATGCCAACGTACATCCGAAATTATGTACATTAGTCTTTAATCTAAATAGAAAATGACTTGTGCGCAGAAATGATTTGGTAAGGTAATGAGCGCTTTTTTGCGCGGAGCACCTCAATTGCTGCATTGCAGAAACATTTGTACTTGTTTGATATGTGGTGAGGCGTCGGGGATATCGTCAATAAAGTGGACAAGTCGTTATTTGGCAAAGTATGATATTATCTAATTAATTTCTAGCAAAATTGATCAATAGATTTCCGTGTAACTTTTCATTGTATTTTATCTTAAAATGCAAGAAAGAAAAATGAGAGAAAGAACTTATTTAGTGGTGTACAACCGGTAATGTCGGTTAAAAAATATTCGTCTAAAATTATTTCGTATTTTTGTTTTTGCCTTTATTTACCCACAGTTCTCCGTTGGAAACATTGCGATGGCTGCTCCAGAAATGTCAGCTCTGCTGAAAAGGAGCAAAAGAAGCGTCGCCGTGCATATGAAAACAGAATGTTCAAAACAGCATGAACCACAAAAATTAACAGATTTATTAGATCACCTTCTGAATCCAGAGAAGCCGATAGATGACTTTGAAACTTTAGATTGGTGCCGTTGGTTGATATCAGGGGGGAGCACCTTTGAGGAATTCACAAAAACAGGTGCCTGTTTCCTTGCCAGTTTCTTGCCAGTCTGTTGGCACATTGTCATAATGCATGTCTGGCATGCAGCAACAATAAGCAGGTTTCCATGCTGTAAAGAATTAGTGAGAACTAAGCGTATATGTATTTGTTTCCTTGTCAAAATCTTTCTCACTTCTTATCAAGTTTATGTGGGCACTGGCTTATCCTGGCAGAGCCAATGGTTTTGTTACATGATGGGTGATGAATCATGTGACTTTCATATATTTAATTGAATTCCTGAGCTTGATTCGAAAATATTTGTACCTTGTGTAAACGTATGTTACAAAAATTTTAATTCAGTAAGTTTTAATAAATTATATTTTCTTCTTTTATTTTCAGTAAGACAATATGATAATGCAGTGACATGTGGTCTAGTTTGGACAGCCAACTTTGTGGCATACAGATGTCGCACATGTGGTCTTTCGCCTTGCATGTCACTATGTGCTGACTGTTTTCAAGCCGGTAACCATGAAGGACATGACTTTAATATGTTTCGAAGTCAGGCAGGTGGAGCCTGCGACTGTGGAGATGTCAGTGTTATGAATGCAAGCGGGTAAGGTGTATTAAAAGAAGTTGTTATACAAGCACTTCTGACAATTTTTGTGCTTGTCAATGAAATTCTTATCAGTGATTTTCACCTAAATAATAGAGGCCTATAAAACTTAAAAGGCCTCTTCCCAATTGATGGTAATTTTCTTAAGAATCATGCAGTTTTCCAAAAAATCTGAACTTTCACCAGCCTTTTAAAGTCCAAATTAGCAAATTTAGCGATAATTCTTCCCAAAATCAAGAGAAAAAAATGATTTTCAAAATTTATTTTTGTTTAGATTTTGCCCAAGACATGGGCCAGAAAGACAGAAAACCCAACCTCACACACCAGGTGATTTACTATCAGTTGCTGAAACTATGATGCCAAGGGTATTCTTGAGACTTCTGTACCATCTAAGAGATAATTCTAAACCTGGTAAGAATTCTAGCTTCCATTAACCCTTACTGTGTTAAATTTTTATGGTATTTTTTATTGGTATATTCACTGATCAATTATTCAGGAAGGAATAGCATTGTTATGATAAAGTTAGTTTACTTGTGATAGCATGTCAGTGATTCCACGTATTTTTATGTTAAAAATGATGTACATATGAGCACCTGAGATATTTTATTACTTTTAATTAAGCAGGAACTATGCATCTTACAGAAAAAAACTTCAAAATTAATGTGTCAGTAGGACACTGATGCCCCTGTATTCTTTTGTTTTGTCAGTTTACAAATGGGTTTCTCTATGTCCCACAAAGTAGTGAGGGACATAAAAAAGAATAAACAAAATAAATAAAAGTTGTACTTGCAGAGTCAGTGGACACATATTCAGTGGCAATGCAGGATGCAGAACAGTTCCTTACGTTTTTACACGGCCTGAGTGATATGGGAGCCGCCATGCGTAGAGTGATGGCAAACGCTTTAACCAAACCAGAATTATATGCTCAACTTACAGCAGGTGAGGGGTCCTTCTCTGTTTAATAATGATTTTTGAAATACTGGAATTTTAATAGTAAGGATGACCAGTTTATATCCAGAGGTTATATGGGTTTGGGAATCAAGCCTTACTGCCTAGACAAATAATGCAAAAAAGTTTTATCTTTTAAAGGTGTCCCATTAAAGTTTCAAAAAAAAAAAAAAAAAAAAATACTGATATGCCATAAAGTAAAGCCATTCTTTGCTTCTTTAGGGACTTTTCTTCTTATGTTATAGTGACTAAGTATTCTGAATGAAAGTAAAAATACCACTTTTATGTTTACATTTCGGTACCTTAATCACGAGTTATTTCACATTCATTGCTATTATCATCATTCAAGTGATGTGCATCTTACATGTTCTCAATCTGTTATTAAACATGTTTTGCTTTTCCTACAGAAAGAAGAAATTCTCAGTTTTAATAACTTAATATTCACCTTTAAACTCTATTAGTAAACACTCTTTGTTGCATGTGATAAAATAAAAAATGACCTTTTCAAAATCAAAACTCAGAAAAACTAAAATTTTAAGACGAAAACCAAGCAACATAGTTGAAAATAAGACACCTGTGTTATTCAAAGAGAAAATTGATTAAAGGCCCATTATATCCAAGAAATGCTTTTTTTGTGTTCTGTTTTAGTTTCTAAAAGATTACTTATTAGCCAATTAGCTACACCATCTTTTGTTTCTGTTGGTAATTAGGGCAGTTATAGTGAATTAGCACTCGTATTTTGTATGGAAGTCAAAATACTACTTTCTTTACATTTTGCTACTTTTATCAGAAATAATTTCACATTAGGCACTAATTTCTTCAAGAGGTTAGCATCTAAATTGCTATTAAACCATTATATCAACGTTATGAAGGTAATGTATGCTCTTTTTAAAGAATGAAGAATTTATTCATTTCTGAGGCATTATGTACCTATAGATATTTTGTATTAATTTTCAGTATCTGAAAGTCCAGGAGAATCAAAATGGTACTATGTCAGGAGTAAAGCTAACTACGATACAGCCGTAGGGTCACTTATCTATCCTCACGGTTTCGCAGATTACGAAGGTCTGTTTATTTTTACAATACACTGAGCACCGCCTCCGTGGTCGAGGGGTTAGAGTCGTTGACTTCTAATCCAGTTCTAATCCAGTTACCTCTCTGGCGTGGGTTCGATCCCCGGGAGATGCTACAGAGGAAGGTAGTCTAGTACTGGTGTAACTATCCAGGAACGATGGTTAGGAAACTAGCCGCCTAAATGACTGAAATACTGTTGGGGAAAAGGCATAAAATGAAACAAACAAACAAACAATACACTGAGAAAAATTACTTCAAGGGTATTTTCTATCCACCTCTGTGTAATTCAGTGTAGAACAGAGTAATATATTTATGACATCAAAGAATTTAAAGATATACTATGCTCAAATTTGATGTTTGAAAATATTGATAATTGCTACACAATCTCTTTGTAAATATAAAATAAACATGTTTTGACCTAATTAAAGTAGATATGCCATGTTTTAAACTTAACATAATTATTATATGTGGACAAAATATGAATATATAATGTCATTAAAAAACTGGCAGTTTTTTTAAGAAAAGACCAAATCTACTTGACCAGTAATAAGGAATACAGCTTCCCATACATAGTTTATACATTCTTTTATTCAAATTAAACATATTCAGTAAGAATTTTATGGATTTCAATACATTTGTGCAATAAAAATATTTTACCCAAAGATGAGCATAGTATATCTTTAATTATAACATCTGGTGAAATGGTTTAGGAACATGAGAATATGAGTATATAGGAACATAACTATAACTGCTAAATCATAGCTCCTCTTTATGATGATAATTTGAAAGATTGTATTGTGAACTTTACAAATGTTTTTTTATGCGTAATCTTTATTCTTGTTCAACTATGAATTTAACAATATATTGATATTTGAGCCGTGTCATGACAAAACCAACATAGTGGGTTTGCGACCAGCATGGATCCAGACAAGCCTGCACATCCGCGCAGTCTGATCAGGATCCATGTTGTTCGCTAACAGTTTCTCTACTTGTTATAGGGTTTGTAAGCGAACAGCATGGATCCCGATCAGACTGCGCGGATGCGCAGACTGGTCTAGATCCATGCTGGTCGCAAATCCGTTATGTTGGTTTTGTCATGACGCGGCTCATTTATTTATATGTTTTGTTGTGTTTTCAGACATGCCAGGGCTAAATCAAAAATTGGTGCACACAACCTTGTTGGAGGAGTTGGTATTTTGGACAGTCAAGTTTGAATTCCCACAGAAAATTGTGACTTTACTTCTTAGTCTTCTACCAGACTTGAGTTACAAGGTCTGTATTACACAATACATTTTATTCATTTGTATGTCTTATGTGGTCCAGCCCTGATGGTGGTCTTATGTGGTCCAGCCCTGATGGTGGTCTTATGTGGTCCAGCCCTGATGGTGGTCTTAATTGAGGGCTTTTACTGTATAACTGTAAAACAAAAGTTAAACTGTATCATGAAAAGTTAAGTTAAGTTTCCTGTTAAATCTTAAAGTAATCAATGTCAATCAAATGTAATCATAAGTTCTGACTGAATTTAAGCTGTAATTGATTAATTACAATTAGTAAATAATAAATTTTGGGCAAGGTAATCAAAAACATGATGATTATAGTGTAATTATGCAATTGATTAAAAAATCAATGATTGCTAGGAACGATTACCCCAGGTCTGGATGTCCCTTTTTGCAGGAACTAAAAGTATATAGCCTTTGGATGCCTTTTTAAGTAAAGTGTACAATGAAACATGCATAGGTTTATGTGTTTGTGAAGAGTCAAGCTAGAACGTTGGCTTATATGATGATGGTGTTACTGTGTGGCTGAAGTTAACAGCTGGCTGGCATCTGTGCTAAGTGGTTAATTTGTTTGACTAGTAATCTAAGGATTGCTGGCCGCATGGGTTCAAAGCCTGCCAGTGGCAAGCCTTTGTTTTCCTTTTAAGCAAGGACGTTACTTTAATAACATTGAAGTGACTTTGATACTGAACATCTATAGACAATTTAAAATGTATTTATTTACAGGAAGCTTTTACCCGTGCATTTATCCAGCACTACAGTAGAATATCTCGTGTTCTGGTCAACGCTCTAGACCGTCAGACTGTCGCCAACCGTGTTGTACATATCAGTGTACAATTATTTAGTAACGAGAGTTTAGCGTGTCAGATGGTGAAGGAGTACAACCTGCTGTATATTCTCATTCTTAGCCTTAATCATATGATAGAGGGAATACTCACAGAAAGTACTTTACAAGGTTAGTCAGTACATTTGAAAATCAGTATATTTTTCAAGCTCAGTCAGTACATTTCAAGATCATTTAATACATTTCAAGGTCAGTCAGCACATTTCAAGGTCAGTCAATACATTGCAAGACATTCAATACATTTCATGACCATTCAATACATTTCAAGGTCAGTCAACAAATTTCAAGTTCTGTCAGCACATTTCAAGGTCAGTCAATACATTGCAAGACATTCAATACATTTCAAGGTCAGTCATTATATTTCAAGGTCGGTCAGTACATTTCATGGTCACTACATTTCAAGGATCATCAGTACTGCTACTTTTCAAGCCCAGTGAGTCATTTTCAGATTGTAAATTTCCATGTCAGTTGGTCAATTACAATGTTAGTTGATACTTAAAAGTATTAGTCAGTGTATTTGATTGTTTATACATTGTCAGACATAAAACAGAATGTTATATATAATACACTAGAGCCCCGTTATAGCCCTCATGTTGCCTTGGGGTCCATGATCTCATAATGCTCATCGTATAATTACCACGAAATTATTACATTACCCCACCTACTGCCAAATCTTATAACGCAACTGCAATGTACTAATACCTTGAATATAATTTGAAAGCGATATTGTACAGCTGTTTAATTTTTCATAAGATGAATAATTAGTCTAGATTAAAATGTGTGTGAATATATCAATCTATAATATGGATCATTATAAACGTCAAAAATTAAACATCACGGAAAAAAATAAAACAACAGAAAAAACAGTAGTTAATTATAAATATGTTATTGTATTTGGTTTTTGTGTAGATGCTCAACAGAACTTCCACATGGTAGTAGATTGTAGTCATGAAGCTATGAAGGAACATTGTTACTGGCCAATCATCAGTGACCTGATCAATTTACTGTCACATAAAGAGATAGCGCATCAATTTCTCTCCGACAGTAAACTCGTCTCCATGTGGCTGGAACTCTTGTCATACTTTCAAGGTATGTACCTGTTTTGTTTTGATAACACGTTATGTGAAAGTAATAAGTATACCATTTCAGTGCATTTTAACCTGAACTTTATGAAAAAATATTGTGATTATCCTATCATCCTACTCAACTCAACCATTAGATTTGACATCTGCATAATTTTGATTAAAGTTGTATGTGCAACTTCTTGTACATAATCTTACTTTATCACACGTGTTTGAAATCATATTAACAGGCCACTGTCTAAGGCCTAGAGTCATGCAGGATGTAGATAGGGCTGTCATTGAATATCGCAATATCGATATATCATTGATATTCATTAAATATATTTATTACACATATTAAATGTTTTTCATTGTATCTACTGTTGATATATTAATATATCAGAGATATTTGTCTCTCGATATATCAATACAAAATTTTCGATCAATGACAGTTCTAGATGTAGAGGGTTTTTTGTTTGCTTTGCACATTAGATAAAAAAATAATTCATAGTGAGAACATCAGATGAAAATGTAAAAGCTGATGTTAATGAGTGAGGGATAATTTGATCTTATATACAAAACAAACACATTTTCTATTTATTTCATGCTTTGAATGGGGTTTTAAGTTATTATTATACAAAAAAAAAGTAGTTATTCACTTGCATAAAAATTCCAGTGTCTATTCTAGGACGCGCGATTGCGCGATTCACGCTAGTATTTCACAGATCGCGCACAATTCAAAATCATGTGCATGAAAATCGCGCATCTATAAAAAAGTTAATAAAACCGTAAAACTTCCATCCCGCATTATATTTGGTTGTTTTGTTTACATTTACACCGAAAACCGAAGGGAGGTAACTGTAAGCTAATTATAATAATTTAGTACTGTATGGTACTGGTTACGTGAGTTGACGGAAATTAACGGAATGTTCCGTATCGACCGGAACTAGTGTGCTAAGTCTGACAGTTGGGCGCCATTTTAGTGTAGTAAATAATCAAGAAAAATGAAGCAATTCCTAGCTTGGCTACGATCTAGACGTGAAAGATAGTTTGATTATTTGTATTGCCAATCTCTTTATAATCAATCGTGGCAGTTCTGTAATAATTTGTTTTAGTTTAAAAATTAAGGGGGGACAACTTCTGCTGCCTTAAATAAATATTATCGTTTTAATTATTTCATCGGTTGAACGCCTCAGTGTAAACTTAATGTAGACGATTTAACATTGGCAGTTTATATTGGCACCCTTTGATTTTGAAAATCGCCCCCTTTTTTGAAATAGAGGGGGGGAAATCACCCCTATTTTTCAATTCCTAGAATAGACACTGTAGAAATATGTAATAAGTGATTAGTTATCGAGTAAAGTGAATTAAGTAGACTGCCTGCTTAGATATGACAAAACCTGTGCTGAAAACTGAGTAAAAACAGACAAACATACTGTTGGGGAAAGCGTAAAATGAAAAACAAAAAAAATTGTATATATTTTTAGGTATGAACTTGAATCAACGAGAGCTTCACCAGCATGTGGAATTCGAACCAGACACCTACTATGCAGCATTTTCGGCTGAATTAGAAATTGCAGCTTCCCCAATGTGGAGTCTGATATCACATTTAAGAAATCAGGTATATTCTACATTTAATTTCAGTTTGCCTCAATGGCTAAAGGTTCAATTTGCTGATGTCCAGTAACTGCCCTTCTATTGCTTTGATTTGATGAATGTTAATGGGACAGTTAGAATCGTCCTGAGGTGGTTGGTAAAATGCAATAGGAATGTCGTTTTGACATATGTTTACACATGAATGAAACAAAGGGAATGCACAGAGACAAGGGCATTTGAGGTGTATGTTTAGTGTAAAGTTGAAAAGTGGGCATATGGTCTTGAAGATTTTTTTTTTATACATTGTACTTGGTAAGTTATCATTCAATAATAGATCAAAGTTTCAAGGGTGCAAGATTTTTGGTCAAAAGTAGTCATGCAGGCTTAAAGTAACCACCACTTAGTTAAAAATGTAATTTTGATGAAATCATAGATTATTATTATAAAGTATATATGAATATAGAGGGGAAAATATAACACTTTCTATTATATTATATACTAGTACATAAATATTACAGGACACAATAACTCTGACAAAGACAATGATACAGGTGTGTCAAGATACTCTACAGGACTGGTTTGATGCTATCTGCTGTAAGGAATCAACAAATGTAAGTTTGTTAATGAGAAAGATTTGGGTTTTTAGTGATTTTTGTTGTATGTTGAGATATGTTTGGTGAGATGTTTGTAAAAGTTATAGAGTTTTAAGCAGGAATTATTAATTATGGATATAATGTATGCAGCATGAAATGTTTCAGGAATTCTGGCTTGCACAGAATATTAAGAGCTTGAATGACTTTGTACTGAAGACAGTATATCTTGGCAACATTTGCCCTTTCAGCACTTTGTAACAAAGAAGTAGGCAATCACTTAAGATAAAACTAGTTACTTCACTCATTTGGGAGTGGGTCAAGGAACTTTTTTATCCAGAATAAAGCTGAATTGGCAAAAGAATATATCTGAACAAAAAGGAAATTATTCTGTGACAATTGGTTTCGGACATTCAGTCTACACTCTTGATTCCAGCAGGATAAATAGTTGGTCACTTGAGGAAAATAAGTAATTACTGGTTAGGAACTTAGGAAAGCAAGTTAGTAGGGCCAACAGTTGAGAGATGACCAAAAATGTGTTGAAATTCAGCAATTCTGTGAAACTAAAAATCAGCTGAACTTAATTATAAGCATGCTTTCTGTACTGTACATAGCTAATGAATGATGATAAATATTTACATTATTTATATTATACCTGCAGGGAGAGGAACAGGTTCGTCTGTGTTACCTTTGCATGTATGACTTGAATATCTTATTTGCATAAGTAACCTCCTCTCTCTTTCCTCACTCAGGTAGATGGTTGCTCTTGATCATATTTTGGATTATGAAATTTCTGTTGTTCCACAAATCTTAAAGGCTAAGAGCAATTAATTTATGTAACATCTTAAGCAGACATAGGTTAACACCATAATATACAGTTTACAGGGCCGGCAAAATCTGATTTTGACTTATTTGTCCGTTTCAATATGAAGCATTTTTTAACTTGTCCGAATGATATTTACATAGTTAATTCTTAAAAATTTTCACTTGTCCGTACAGGCTGTGTGACAACCTTGGCAGTACGGACAATTGATTTTGCCAACCCTGGTTTATATAAACTTTTACATTGTTGCATTCTTCAAGCATTAATTTTATTGTTTTTAAAATTCTTAATTTTTCCTACCATGTACTAAATCCTACTTTTTCCTTTTTTTGACAGGCATGTTTTGATTGATAAGTAATTAGATGTTTTGTTGTCTAGAAGCTTTCAGTCTTAGAAGATCATTTCGTATTTTATTACTTTAATTTTCTGCAAAATCATGATTATTTGTTTGACACTAATTTTCCTAAATTAGTCATTCCACAGATATGCAGTTTTAAATTGAAATTTGAGTCGCGTCATGGCAAAACCATCATGATAATGGGTTTGCGGCCAGCATGGATCCAGACCAGCCTGCGCATCTGTGCAGTCTGATCAGGGCCATGCTGTTCGCTGTCAGTTTCTCTTCTGGTAATAGGGTTGGTAAGCGAACAGCATGGATCCTGATCAGACTGCGCGGATGCGCAGGCTGGTCTGGATCCATGCTGGTCGCAAACCCATTATGTTAGTTTTGTCATGACGCGGCTCATTCTATTTTGTCTGTTGTCCAGGAAAGATGGTTTGGTGGACTGACTGCTGAGATATGACAAAAAAATGTGGTGAAATTGATGTAAAACCCAGACAAAACAAAACTAGATTCTATATTTAAAGTGTATTGTGTGTTCAATTTGTTAAATTAATGTTGTGAAGAAGTTTCTTTTAAAAATTGCTAGAATTATTTGTAAAAATAATACTGTAGCTAATTTTTTGAATATTTGCTTTGTAATATATTTCAGCCTAATCCCCTTCAGTTGACCTTCCACCTGCCGTTGCATCGTTACCTAGCAACGTTTATGGTACAAGCAGTTCAGTATCAGAAACAGGATCTGTTGTCGATCATACCCCCGGAGAGAATGCTCAAAAGTTTACTCACACATCTACTGCAGATACAAGTATGTAAAACTTAACTTGTTTGTCCGTTTGACTTGCTTTAAGAATAAATTTTCATTATGTTGCATGCAATAAAACCTTTGTTTATTTTTCTAAAATTTCTACTAACCTGAACCTAAATTATAAATGTTTTTGTTAAATTAATGTAGACCACTTAATTATTTGCAAAAACTTCCTGTTTTCACGCAATGGCATGTGGCCTTGTTTCCTAAATGACCTTGTTTCTCAAGATCATTTTTTCCCAGGTTTGGAAGTTTGCTTCCTCTTAAATGAAGGTCCTATGGAAGGGGAGAAAAATATTCAGTGTAGGTTTTTTTTTAATTTTTCATCTATGTAAAAGGTTTTGTATATTTTAAGGTTGCTACAACAGAAGTATTCTGTAATATGTGGGTACGGAATGGTATGCAGATTAAAGGGCAAGCCATGACATACGTACAGTGTCATTTCTGTTACTCTATGGTAGACGCTGATATCTATCTCATGCAGGTAAGGCAGTTTCCTCTCATGATGCTTGGCTGAGTGGTAATGGTTATTGCCTTAAAACCACTTGTTCCTCACCGATGTGGGTTCAAATCCCGCCAGGGACTTTGTATTCTTTCATGTGAGAAAGCTAGCTGACAGAACAATACTGGCTCTACTCTGGAGCCTGATCATGCCTGAAAGAATGCATGTGGGGGCAACTTAGGACTCTGCCAGTATAGCTGGAAAGTTGCCATATGATCATCATAACGTTGGTGTCACTTGAAACCTAACAAAACAAACAGTGTTACACAGTATTAAGAAAGTAATGTATCACAACAATGAAATTAAACGCTTATCAAAACATATATTCAAACACTATCAGAAATTTTTCTATGTAAACAAAGAAGGCCCGAAGCGTGCATTATTCTACAACAATGCACTCACCATTCTTATTATCTCCCTGTGTATTTTCACATTGAGGGCGCCATTTTGTTTGAAAAATCTGATAAATAAAAAACATTTTTTGTCGAATTTTGTTGTGAAAACTATCTAGAATGAAAGAAAATGGTCTAACTAAGAAAATAAATCCGAACACCAATATCTGTAATTCAGTCGTTAACGCTGTACAGACGTTTAAAGTGTTGTTTACGTGACGTCACAATGTAGCGCCAAACAGCACATGCAAAACAATCATATCAAGTACGCTATTTGAATGTCGCAAACAAGTTAAGTTTTACATTTATTTTACTTTTAATAATTTGTATTTTGCTTGAAAAATTATAGAGTGAAATAAAATAAACAAACAAAGGTTTATCAACGTTTTCAAAATTCGTTATTCTCAAAATGTTTCTACACACGGTAGATTTAACAACAGTTTTTTTTTCAACCCACTGGAACAGCCTTTAAAGAACGTTTCTATTGGAAACTCTGAGGCGAAAACAAATTTAACCACCAAACATAAAGTCCAACTTTATAATAATGATTATATTTTTCTTGACGTGTTAGAATGGAAATAGATATTATTTCTTTGTGCTTTATTGTATAATAATGCACGTTTTTCGTTCAAATGCTTTGTTATTAATCACTCAGGCCTATCGGCCTTCGTGATTATATTACTACGCATTTGAACTCAAACCGTGCATAATTCTACAACAATGCACTCAGAATTGATATCTATTTCCTAAACAAATTGAATAGGAGCATGCATTGGCCTTCATGGCTGAGTAGTCAAGATCATTGACATAGAATCATTTGACCACCATCTGTTGTGGGCTTGAATCCTACCAGAGAGTAAGGAATTCTTGCTTGATCCAGTAAAGTATTGGATGGTTGGATAATAGGTCTCGAATATCAGCGTGTGTCTAAGATAATGTAAAAAGGTACAGCTTTTCTAGAGGTCAAGTTATGTTAATATACAACCTTTAAATGTTTGCGTGAATTAAAATCCATCAAAAAATGACATTTTAAAATATTGATTGAATTTGCAGGTGTGTGCAAGTAAATTGGATCCTGACTACTTTGTACAGGCTGTTCTTGATAGGTAGGTATTATATGTTTGATGAAAAGGTAGCCATTGTGAAAAATATCAAATCAGATTGAACAAAATGTTTATGTAATTGTATAATCATTTATACATATCTGTTGACATAGAAGATAAAAGATTAGAATACAGAATTGTGTCAGGCATGTGTTTAGATATTATTTGTAGTTGATGTTTCTTCATTGTGTTGAGACAAGACTGAAAATGCCATTAACGTCTCACTGTTTGATATAGTGAAGTTGTTTGGTTTTGTTTTATAGAAAACACGTTAATGCTTAGAAAGAATCTAGGAACACTTTCAAGGCAGTGACGCACAAGAATATTACTTGAAAAATGTTATGCATTAATCAGTTTTTCTTCAAATTACTGTTGAACAGTTTTAATTTTGCATATATGTCTATATGAAAACTCCAAAAAACGTCTTTAAGACAGTCTTAAAGTTGAATTAGGAATTATTGACAAAGTTTGTGTCATGAGTTACTTCACTTTGTAAAATAAATTGTGGTATCATAACCTTCAGTTAAATGAGGTTAACAAAATCTGTGTTACGAAAGCTTTCATATCGTGGATTTTGTAAAATATATATTAAAATAAAGTTTTTTACACTTTATTGAAATTTGCTTGCATAAATTGTGTAATTATTGACTTAACTGAATTTTAGGTTTCACATCAGTGACTGGATGTCGTTTGACCCGAACCCTAGTGCACGCAGTTACAAGATGGAGAAAGAACAGGAGCTTTCTATGGTAGAAGGAGCACTGCAGTTCTTCACCATGTTGCTTCATGTTCGAACTTACCTTGGTAAGTTAAACCAGTTCTTGACATTGAAATTAAATTTATACATGAAATTATCTTGCCATATGTTGAATTTTAGAACTCTCCATTGTAATTTCAAGAGGTGTTTATATATCTAGAAGATGAAATTTAATCAGTGAACGGTATAGAGTCTAGTCAGACAGCCTGAAGAGGCTCGGACCTTGGCTACTAGGCCACATGATTGACTGCTGCTCAACCAAGGGTTTGAGAGTTTAATACCTACTTGTGGTCTTTACAATGTCTCCTTCCCTGACACCAGTTTTGTGTAGTGAATTACACAAAAACAAATGTACATATAGGTATAGTGCAAATGGGTTGGGCTACAAGTTATTACAACATTAGCAACAGCCCTTCCCACAAAGTCTAACTTTTATGATATATATTTTCTGGACAGTTTCATATGAATAGTTACAAGTTATGCTTTACCATCATTTGACGGCACAGATTTGCAGGTTGATCTTGGTCACATGGCTTGAATCAGTTGCTATCAGCAAACTGAGGTTCAAATAAACATTAAAATAAGCTATGAGAAATTTCTGTATTAAAGGGATGACAGATAAAGAACTTACACGCCTGGAGATGTGTACATTATTGTTTGTCAATGACCGACAGCACAGTCAGTTGATGGACTTGATGCCGGAGAAGTCCGGTATGACGGGGCATGGTAAAGATCTGTTTGAACCCACCCTGAAAGATGTGGCAAACCACAAAGCACCAAACTTTGAACCTGGAGCTGGCCTTCAGCAGGGGTCATACCAGCCAAAAGGTAAACATTTTTATTATGCCCCGCCAAAAATGGCTGGGGCATATAGTGTTACCCTGTTCCGTCCTTCCCTCATCATCTGTTTCGGTTCATTATCTAAGTAACGATTGTACATATTTAACTCAAATTTAAATATGGATATGTCATAAGAATACACTGGTCAAGTTTGAATTTGGTCATGGTTTGATGATAGCTGACAGAGTTATCCCTCTTGAACTTTGAAAAAAAATCAGAATTTTTTAGTTTCCATTCATTATCTACCTAATGCTTGTACACATTCAACTCGAATTTGACATATAAATAATCTTAGGAATAAGCAATTCAAGTTTAAATTATAGATACATCTTAGGAATAAGCAGTTCAAGTTTGAATTTGGTCATGGTTCAATGATTTTGGACAAAGTTATCTCTCTTGAATGTTGGAAAAATTTTGAAATATCAGTTTCAGCACTCATACTTTTGTGGAAATGTATGTAGCCATTATTTTTGGACTACAAATATGCATATGCAATTTACAAAAGGTTAACAACTGAATAGTGTCAGTGCCTTGAACTTTGTATAAAAATTTTACAAATTGCGCGGCTGGTCTGGATCCATGCTGGTTGCAAACCCATTATGTTGGTTTTGTTATGTTTCACGGCTCATATAGTTTTTGTGATTTAAATTAATAGATGAGATTTGGGAGCAAGAGTTTGATCCAGTAACATGTGTTATTGAGGGCTGTGTTATAAGAATGATTTCCAGTCAGCATGGAAGATACACCGAATTGTAAGTAGTTCTTAGTAGTGAAAAAAGATCCTGTTTTTTAACTGATAAAAGTAAAATCAAAGTTTGATCTTATAGTATAAAAACATATTCTGTGTAAGCATTATGTCTAGCAAACTCACTAGAAAAGATATTTAATTACAATGCTTTTCGGTTGTTTAATAGAAAATGTATCATGAATATAAAAAAATGATATTTCACTGTATGAAACAGTGGATAAATCAAATTTGATATTTTCATGTTTTGAATTTTAAGCCTGTTACATTTTGCTTCAGTGATATAACCAGCGTGGCACAGTACTGGAAACCAATTTAATGAGTGTGATGTCACAAATGACGTCATGTTGTATTATTATTTGGCATGCTTTTCACTTAATATTAGGTTAAAATGACTTTTTAAAAATGTTTCTTAAGTAGGGATTATACTGTATGTTGAATGTTAAACTGTTATCAATTAATTACTTTATTAAAATGAATCCCCCCTTCTTTGAACTAATCCTTCTTTGGCTAATTGAAAGATTGTCATGGTCTAAGAAGGCTTAATCCCACGACCTGTGGAGGTCGTGGGCTGAGATGGCCAGACTTTAACTGCTAGGCCATCATAAGTACATTTGTAATCAATCATCTATGCCTTGCTGAATTTGACTGAAAGTGATTTATGAATATTTCAGTTTAAGGAAGAAGAGGAATTTTAAGGGGAAAAGTCAGCCATGGCCGCCATTTAAACCACCAGGGGAGGTGCTAGAGTGTTACCGGTCCATGTATAGAATACTACACTGTAAAACACTACATTCTTTACTGTTTACAGTCTTACAAAAGGTATTTTGCTCTTTGATATTTACCTTTTCAATCAGTATTAGCTAGAAAGTCTGCATATCCATGCAGTGAAATCAAGCTCTGACCCCACTGCTTTTGACTGCTCTGGTTGGTTCTACGATATTGAACTCCCTTAAACTACTTATGGCCTTCAAATTAAAAGCAGAGCTTTGCAACACAATTCATTACAGTTAGAAGTAGAATTTCAAAATTTGAAAATTTTGTTATGAAAATATAAAGTTGTACTTCAAACAATGAAAAATGCTCTTAATTTTGTTACCAAAAATAATAAATAAAATAAAAGTGAGAAAGTTAACATGAGATTTAAATTAACATTTACTATTTGTCCGTACTTTAAATTTGGACAAGACATTCATGGTTTTTAGGGAAAATTTCAAAAAAATATACAGACTGTATAGTGAACTGTTAAGACCATGATCAAAACGTCTCCCGGCCTGATCTTGGTCTGTACTGCCTCCACTCGGTAGCCTGGGTTCCAGTCAAAAGCCTAATTCCAGCTAGCTTAGAAGCTACTAAAAGGTTGATCATTTATTATAAGTGTTAACCTTAGTAATCAGGATTTTAATTTTAAAGATGTGTTTGTGTTTTTGTTTTTTCAGACATTGAAGGATGCCACCATACCAGAGAGTATTAGTTATTATGCCATACATTTGTTAGAACTAGCTGTTACTGTCCCAAATCCAGGCAATCATAGGAGGGTAGGTTTTACTTTTGTTCACAATTCTTTTTGTTACTGAAATTATCAAGTTTTGCGAAGATCATGAACTTGTTTGTTTAAGTGCATAAATCTGCCGCCCATAGTTAACAGAATAATTCCCTGAAGTTTGGAAACAGAATAATTCCAAAATACCTGTGTTTGTATATTTTATTAAGACTGAATGATGCATGCAAGAAATCATTGCTAAATGGTTAAAATTCTACTTAAAATTGTTGCAAAATATTTTGTTTTGGAAAATTTTATTCTATTTATCTATAACATTGATGTGTGTTGAAAAACAGAGACATACTATGTTACAACGTATTTGAGAATGGAAACAGGATGATTTTACTGTTTATAGATTTCATTAATATATATTTCATTCATTATAGATTTATACCAAATAACATATGCACCCTTCTTTATAAAGTGATGCATAGGGTTGATTTCAAGCATTTTGTAGGGTTTTCTCAACTTTTCTGTTTTATGATTCATTGTCAGTTCTCACTTAGGCTAGAGGCAGATTGGCAGTCTTTTACCTCATACCTTGGCAGTGTTTTGTTATTTTGAATATGTTAAAGTTGCACCAAGGGGAGTATGCAATTGTGTCACCAATTCATGGTTTATAGCTAAAATCTAGTCCTTAAAATGTTTAGTTAAATCAGTCTTAAGCATTAAAAATGAATATCATTTACAGACAGAACTACATACATGTGTAAATTATATAAAAATTAATATATCTGTAATTCTTCACATTATTCAAATGTGTTACAAGCTTCAATAGTTCTGATACTGTTATATTAGATGAAGCCGTCACAAGCGTCCGTCCCAGATAGAAACTACAAGGAATGGTTCTCAGGTAGCGATATCTTCCACAATATAAGGGAGACAATCAGAGATGTGGAGATACCTCTACTACACATGAATCTAGAGCAAGAAGGACCGATGTCCATGACGATTGATACGTCGTTTGAGGAAATGTTTCAGTTAGCGCCTAGTGTGCTTGCAGGTTTTGTTTTGTTAAGCATTTATTTCATTTATGATACTATTATTGGATACTGGAAACAATTAAGTAAATTGAAACAGATTAGCTTATGGAATATTAATGATATTTATTATTCTGCGAAAAATACTTTTATAGGACAAAGAGTAATGCACAAATGGACAACTAGGGCTTTTCGTTACTATGAAGATTCAAAAGTTAATAATGACGTTGACAGTAGTTTTAATGTATTGAAAAAGCATGGAATAAATTTTAACTTGTTAACTTATTTAAATCAGTTGTTCCGGGAAAATGCTTTATATGGGCTAGAGGAAATGTTTAAATGGTAAATCTTAGCACTTTCAGCCATTAAGAAATTTTGAAAGTTGAGTTTGGTTATATTATACATTGAAGAAAACAACACAAAAAAAACCCCCAGAATAGTCATATGATATCATGTCATTGTCCTCATTTTTCATACTCAAATTTCTAGATTTTAATTTTTTAGATTTTCTAGATTTTTTTTTTTCGCATTATCTATTGTTGCAGGTCCGAGTGGTCCTATCACAGCAGCTCACTCAGGTCAGATACCTACAATACTCTCCACCATGCACTCCAGCACTGCCGGCACCCAGACAAACCTGCTCACTGTACATCCGTCCACCAGTTCTGCCTTACCCAAGTTTGACTCTCGAGGCATCAGCACGGAAGCACCGAAAACACAACATATACCAGTGAATGAAAGCTTATTAACAATACTATTCAAACTTCATGCCAAGATGGCAGGAAAAGGTAACCTATACATCCCAGCTAGTGTGTCAGCTAAAACATCTCAAGATACCAGTGTCGGTGATGGGGCACATTTTATAAATCGTTTGTTGGATAAGCTATGTACAAAGAATAGAGATTGTGCCAGGGCAGTAGAAGATCTTTACAACTCCCAGCGACCTAAAGAAGGAGCAATTCCTAAGAAAGGAAAGGCAACTGATCCTGAATCTAGGTAAACTTGAATCCTTTAAACATTATTCATAATGATAGATTGACATTGCCAACAATATAGATCCCTTTCAGCTTATATTTGGGTGCATTCTGAATTAATGTTAAGGTGCAGTCATATTTTAATCTTATAGGACTTAATGTAATATATAATATACTTAGTTGTTTATATTGGGCCATATAACAAGTATAAAATATTTAGTTATATACTGGATTAATGTAATGTTATAGAACCTTATATGTGCCATTTACTCATTCTAGGAGAAGAAAGGCAAGAGAACGCCAGCAAAAACTGATGGAGGACTTTGCTAATAAACAGAAAGCATTTATGAAGCAAGCTATGGACACAGGAGGTTTGTGTGTAATATTTTTATTCCTCCACTACTTAGGGGGTGGTGGGGCATGTAGATTTGCACTTGTCCTTTCGTTCGACTAAAGTACAAGGAGGCATAGTAGTAAAGGTGTCTGCCTCTCAGGTTTGAACCCTTCTTGAGTCATAACCATGTTTCCTCACGATTATTGGTTAGTTCCAGTAATCATACTCCAGAATGGTTCAATCAATCTATCAGATTTTCCTCACAATCAAGCTTATATAAATATTTTATGCTGAAAGAAATCTTTATCATAGTTGTTTAAAGCAATCTTTTCAATGTGTTGCGGCTTGGTCGAGTGTTCAACGCGTTGGACTAGTAATCTAAGGATTGCTGACCGTGTGGGTTCAAACCCTGTCTGGGGCAAGCCCTTGTTTCCTTGAGCAAGAAACTTTACATTCACTGCTTAGTACTGGTTGGTTCCAGGAACGGATTCGAGAGTGTTTCAATAAGCTTAAAGCTTCCAACACAACCAAACTAGAATAAATTTGTTTAAACTAAAACTAATGTTTTATATCAGATGGTGTAGATGCGGGACCATCGAGAAGTTCCGAGTCATTTGATGATATGTCGGAGGAGATGGAGCAGGAGGAAAGTTACGATTGTGTTATATGTAATCAGAGTACCCCGTCCACCGGTGACAGACCCATTGGTCTTGTTGTCTTCCTACAGTCGTCCAGTGGTAAGCAACAGTTTTGTTCACAATAATTGTCTTAAAATGGGTATATATACATATATATATATATATGTGATATGATCTTGTTAATCAATTTTTAGCTCACCTGTCACAAAGTGACAGGGTGAGCTTTTGTGATCGCTTTTCGTCCGGCGTCCAGCGTCCGTCCGTCCGTAAACTTTTGCTTTAAATGACATCTCCTCTTAAACCACTGTGCCAATTTCATCCAAACTTCACAGGAATGTTCCTTTGGTGGTCACCTTTAAAAATTATTCAAAGAATTTAATTCCATGCAGAACTCTGGTTGCCATGGCAACCAAAAGAAAAAACTTTAAATATCTTCTTTTAAAAAACCATAAGAGCTAGAGCTTAGATATTTGGCATGAAACATCTTCTAGTGAGTGTCTACCAAGTTTGTTCAAATAAAAGCCCTGGGGTCAAAATTGGCCCGCCCCTGGGAGTCATTGATTTTCCCGATATGCATATAGTAAAAACTTAAAAAAAACTTCTTTTAAAAAACCGTTAGAGCTAGGGCTAAGATATTAAGCATGAAACATTTTCTAGTGAGTGTCTACCAAGTTTGTTCAAATTAAAGCCCTGGGGTCAAAAATTGGCCCCGCCCCGGGGGTCATTGATTTTCCCGATATGCATATAGTAAAAACTTAAAAAAAACTTCTTTTAAAAAACCGTTAGAGCTAGGGCTAAGATATTAAGCATGAAACATTTTCTAGTGAGTGTCTACCAAGTTTGTTCAAATTAAAGCCAAAAATTGGCCCCGCCCCGGGGGTCATTGATTTTCCCTATATGCATATAGTAAAAACTTAAAAAATCTTCTTTTAAAGAACCATAAGAGCTAGATCTTAGATATTTGGCATGAAATTCTTCTAGTGAATGTCTACCAATTTTGTTCAAATTAAAGCCCTGGGGTCAAAATTGACCCTGCCCCAGGGGGTCATAGATTTTCCCTATATGCATATAGTAAAAACTTAAAAATCTTCTTTTAAAGAACCCAAAGAGCTAGAGCTAAGATATTTAGCATTAAACATCTTCTAATGAGTGTCTACCAAGTTTGTTTCAAATAAAAGCTCTGGGGTCAAAATTGGCCCCGCCCAGGGGGTCATTGATTTTCCCTATATGCATATAGTAAAAACTTAAAAAATGTTCTTTTAAAGAACTGTAAAAGCTAGAGCTTAGATATTTAGCATGAAACATGTTCTAATGGGTGTCTACCAAGTATGTTCAAATAAAAGCCCTGGGGTCACAACTGGCCCTGCCCGGGGGGGGGGGGGGTCATTGATTTTCCTTATATGTGTAAAGCAAAAACTTAAAAATCTTCTTTGGAAAAACCCAAATAGCTAGAGTTTAGATATTAAGCATGAAACATCTTTTAGTAAATATCTACAAAGTTTGTTCAAATAAACACCCGGGGGTCAAAACTGGCCCTGCCCCAGGGGTGACATTGTTTTTAACTATATGTGTATAGTAAAAACTTTAAAATCTTCTTTTAAAAAAGCCAATGAGCTAGAACTTAGATGTTTAGCATGAAACATCTTCTTATGGGTGTCTACCAAGTCTGTTCAAATAAACAAATAAAAGCCCTTGGGTAAAAATTGGCCCGGGGGTGGGGGGCCTATATACAGGTGAGCGACCTCAGGGCCATCATGGCCCTCTTGTTTAATATTGTCAGTTTCTTACTACCTCAGTCTTATTTGTAATGTATATGCGTAAATGTGTATGTGTAAAGATTGATTATTCTTCATTCTAGCTATTTTTATGCCTCCGCCATAAAATGGCTGGGGCATATAGAGTTAGCCCCTCTGTCATTCTGTCCTGTCATAATCTCGGCTGCAAATATGCAAAATGCGAATCGCAAAAGGTCAGCACTGAACCCTTTCATGGTCTTGAACTTTGTATAAAAATGGTTTGTGTTAACATTGAATAGTTGAGGGCTTTTAAATTAGAATGAAAATAATAGTTTGTGCAAAACAAATTTGAAACTAATAAGTATTATATCATTCGAAATTTTGGCTGCATGCGAGGGTATCCGTGGTGTGACAACACATTTCTAGTTTATGATAACAACAATTCATGTGATCATCACTTCTAAACCTTGCCCCTCAACTTATCAAGTTATGTTGATATTTCATTCTTGTGCTTGAAATAATGCTGAAGGATATTTATTGCTTTACTGCACCAGTGAAGACAAAAAAGCTGTTATACGAAAAATCTGAGACAGGCTTAGATTCATAGCATAGCTTTCCATAAAAGAATAAGAAGAGACACCATTTCTTTGCCACTAAAGGTGAACAGAAAAGGCCATTTGAAAAATTGTTTAGTCAAAATTGCTTAATACTGCATCTGTGCCAAGTCTTTGACCATGAAAGAGCATGCTGACAATCTTTGAATTGTTAATGTAGTTCATATTTTACAAATTTTGGAAGCTTTAAAATTTATTGTGACACTAACTTTCTCTTATAGTATTAGGTCATAGACCACAGACAGACACACGGAAAGTTTTGACGCTGGGTGACAAAACGAGGCAGAGAATTACAACTTGCTCCAGAGTTCAAACAAAACGTCTGGAAACACTTTTCAAGCATTTCGAAGAAGTAAGCAACGTTTTTCATCAGTCCAAGATAGGTTGAACAATTAAAAGCAGCACACAGCTTGAGTCGTTAAAATATTTATGAAAAGTTAGAAAATGTTTGGAAGTTGTTCAGATGTTGTCAAGGGAAAAGATAAATTAATTAAAAGTTGCAGAAGTCATAATTCCAATAAATTACTTCTACAGATGTACTTCGAATGTGTCAAAATGAGGAAATGAGCAAAAAAAAGCTCTTGCACTGGTTATAGACCACTGATTGTTTTATTTAGTTGCCTGCTTCTGTCTAATATTCTGTATAGAGGAGATCTCTCTGAGGTCCTCCACCAGAAAAGTTAGATCTTCATATGACTTTTACAGTGTTGGTGTGATTTGCTAGTATGACTTAAAACTCAACAGTTAGTTACAAATCACAACACTATCGGAAATTTTTTCTATATAAACAAAGAAGGCCCGAAGCGTGCATTATTCCACAACAATGCACTCGCCGTTTTTATTATCTCGCTGTGTATTTTCACATTGAGGCCCTTTTGTTTGAAAAATGTGTGCAAAACAATCAAATCAAGTACGCTATTTTGATATCGCAAACAAGTTAAGTTTTACATTTATTTCACTTTTAATAATTTGTATTCCGCTTGAAACATTATAGAGTGAAATAAAATAAACAAACAAAGTTTTCAAAATTCATTATTCTCAAAATGTTTTTACACACGGCATGGTAGATTTAACGACAGTTTTTTTTCAACCCACTGGAACAGCCTTGAAAGAAAGTTTCTATTGGAAACTCTGAGGAGAAAACAAATTAAACCACGAAAAAATAAAGTCCAACTATATAATGATAATTATTCTTTTTCTTGATGTGTTACAATGGAAATTTTTTGTTCAAATGCTTTGTAATTAATCACTCAGGCCTATCGGCCTTCGTGATTATATTACTACGCATTTGAACTCAAACTGTGCATTATTCTACAACAATGCACTTAGAATTGATATCTATTTCCTAAGTATATGATGATAAAAATAGTGAATTTAGTAAAAATTTTCATATAGGCATGTAAAGTACTTCCAGTAGTATATAATTATACAATTTTATTGTTTTCAAAACACTGTTCATTCATCTGGAGGTATGCAGCTTAACAGGTGGATTTCTGGATTGCCACTTTTACTGTGCAGGAATTAATAGTTGTGTAGATTGGATAAATCAGTGCTTGAATTAAATTGATACTTTGATTATTGTGTGTTTTTTCTCACTTCATTGGGAAAAAAACCTTAATCTCTTTATTTTGGTAAAAATTATTGCTACAATTATTAATTTGAGAAGAAAAAGAACTGGTTTTTGGAAAACTGCATGATTTTTTAAGAAAATTTTCAATTTGGAAGAGGGCCTTTTATAGGCCTCTGTTGTAATAAGGAGGAAAAACATTGAAAAAAGTCATATTTTCAATGTTTTTCCTCCTTATTACAACAGAGACCTATATGTTTAAATATTGTCTGCGATCAATTGCAGTTGATTGTTCTACTGTGATTCTCATCATCATGGTGTAAAAAATTAAATGAGCCCCGTCACGACGAAACCAACATAATGGGTTTGCGACCAGCATGGATACAGACCAGCCTGCGCATCCGCGCTGCCTGATCAGGTTCCATGCTGTTCGCTATCAGTTTTTCTACTTGTAATAAAGTTGGAAAGCGAACAGCATGGATCCTGATCAGACTGCGTGGATGTGCAGGCTGAGGCTGGTCTGGATCCATGCTGGTCGCAAACCCATTATGTTGGTTTTGTCGTGACACGGCTCAAATGAATTACTTTGTACAGCTGTTTTTGTACACAGAAACTTATTATTGTCATTTCAGACTTCCTGCCAGACATCAGTCAATATTGGCTGGGAGGGTGGGGTGTTAGTACAGACATGTGGACATTACCTGCATTTAGATTGCCATACTTCTTATATTAACTCCCTGCTGGTAAGTCAATTTTTATTTCCATTAGTAAGGGGGCATATAGATTAGTACTTGTCAGTCAGTACCACTTTGGGGGTATTACTGTCTTATGGACACTTTTTAGTTTATTTATTGATTATTCCTAGATAATTTGGGTTGATAATGTTCCCCTACCCCACCCCAGCTATGTGAAAAGCATCTATGCAGCTAGTTTAAATAAGGTCAGTTGTTTTGCTCAGTTGCCATCTTGTTCCCGAAATAATGCACAGAGTGGCGGGCATCTGTGGTCTTCTTGGACCAAGACCCGAGGTAATAAGGAAATTCTCTAAGCTCAAGCTCAGATCTTGGGTATTTGATTGGTCAGAAACTCCCTGACCAATGAAAAACCTGGGATTTGAGAAAAGACTTGAGATAAGAATTTTTTATAACCTCGAGGCCTGATAAGCTTGAAAAAATTAGCTGTGTTAGTTCGACTTAAAATCAGGCAGAAAAATAGATAATCAGTGTCTGAAAATAATACTAGTATAAAATACTTATGTAATCCATCTTTCGAAATCTATATCAGATTTTACTGTTTATATTTTAGGAACAAGGAGGTCAATATAACCTGCTGGTCAGTAAGGGAGAGTACTCTTGTCCCCTATGTCTACAATTGTCTAATTCTGTGATACCTATTCTACCGGAGGAAAACAAGTACACGGTCACGAAGCCGGTTTCAAGTGACCCAAAACAGATGGTGCGAGACCTGGCCGATATGATGGTGAAACGGCCCATTACACCTGTAAGTACATGTACCTTTATTGTTCTAAAAATAGAATCAAATATAAATATAAACCATTTGACAACAACTTTACATGTTCAATATTTACTTCTGTTTCAAGATGTTCTATTAGCGAGTGCATAAAAATAGTGCTTTTAAAAAGTTGTTGTCTAGGCAGTTGAGCTTGACTAACAATAAGTATGAGTGTTAACATTTATAAATATTGTTCAAGTCCCAAATATCTCTAAAAATTCTGTTCAACCTGCCCATTT